AACGTAACCGTAACCGTAACCTAACGTACTACGTAACGTACTACGTACGACGTACGACGTACGTACGTACGACGAGAGAGAGAGAGAGAGAGAGAGAGAGAGAGAGAGAGAGAGGTGTCACCGTGACATTATAAGGTGCTTGAGAGCCCGAAGGAAATCTATATTTGTCGACAATCTCCATCTCCACCCAAAAGTCACTGCCTTCCTCATCCCGGAAACCCCGTGATCCATGTTTGATGTATATTCCTTCACGGTTGTGGCGAGGAGCTACATTATTTCTACCTTGATTAGGTGATCTCCAAGCCTGAAAACCAGCAGCAAGATTTATCAATACGGATACAGCAACCTCATTCCTCCCCCCCTCCCCAGCTCTCGCAGGTATTAGCTAACTCTTAACTCTCGCTTCTATGCCAAGAGGAAAATCATCTCTCTCACACATTTTCTCAGTTTTCTGGTACTTCTATTTGTATGATATACATCTACTACTTAATGTTTGTATCTTTATTATTGTTTATTTATCTATTTAAATTTCAAAGTTAGTGAGCCACGCACTTCCCGAGTTGACTTACCCAAGGCCTCAAGTCAACAAAAGATACTCCCAAGACATCCAGTCCTTGTATCATTATCAACTAATACACCCATTACAAGTAATGTTTGCTACTAAATTAGGTTTTATCAGATGAAAACAAAAAAAGACAAACCTAAACAAATTAGTTGAATAATATTATTTTACAAAAAAAACAGTAGATCCTAGGAGCTGATGACTGGAATTCCAAACCAATAAAAGGAAAATAATAAGATAAAAGAAACAGTAAATATACCTTCAGAGGGTGATGGGGAGCAGGAGTAGAAAAGCAGAAGACATTTCCATTCATTGTTGTCACAATAAGATCAAGGTCATCTCCACCATCAACATTATCAGCCAGGACCATGGAATATCTGTTTGCATTGTTAACTTTAGGAATGGACAGATTGAAAAAGGATAGAGAGAGGAGAGAGGCCGCCGAAATTAGTGGTAGGTAATAATGGCCAGAGGCCTAACATCTAGAGACAGAGAGAGCACACATTTGTTTAGTGGGACACACTTTGCCATCACACTGGGAAAGTTTTTTGATCAAAAGCACTTTCCCACCACCCTGACGAAGCACTTTCCCAACCCGAAAGGTGGAGTGCCGCTTTCTCAAGAAAAGTGGCAAAAGCTGGGAAAGCACTATTACATATGCTACACTAAAGTCTGCTTTTTCAGAAAACAAACATGGAAATGCAGTAGACTTTTGGGAAAAAGCTTCCTTAAAGTTTCTTCCCAAAAAACAAACTTTTTGCTCTCCACTCTGGATATCAGGCCACGGTACAACATCCAAGGTTCAAATCCCATCTTTGCCCCCACCCGAGACAAAAAAGAAGAAAGAACTAAACAAATTGGGAGACTTACGAGATTTCACCAATATCTACAACATCTGCACATGCTGTAGCGCCATCAATGAGGTAAAGATAACCATCAAATGAAGTTGTGACAAGAGTCAAGCCCTTTCGTTGCTCGCCTCGTTTGCTTAGATCGAGGAGTAATACATGATTCATCACTCTTCCATGGGTACGATAAGGAAATGGACGGACTATTGACCCATCTTTTCCTCTAAGGACATATATATTCCCTGATATTGTCGGAATCACAATGTCAGTATGACCATCACCATCAACATCACCAACTGTGGGACCCTGAAAGTAGCGATAATATGAGCCAAGTTTATTAAGAGCCATGCTGAAAGATATGAACTTGTTTGCGAAAGCAATGCAAAAAGTCAGAAAAAGAGATGAATTTCGAAAGGAAATCAAGGACATAAATGTTACAGTTGAGAAAGTAGAAGGTAAAACATATCAGGTTCCTTTAGTCTGCAGCACTGAGAGCAAATAATTCCAAGTGAGGGCAGTTTCTTGGCAAAAATGACGAGATTTCTAAAACCACGAATCCCACAGTTCTTTTTTCTTTGTAAGTGCCATGAGTCCCACAGTTTCAGTTGATGCCCAATCTCCCACTTATCACTATTCATAAATGTAAAGACTCCAGCCTTGGTTGGTCATGAATGAATAAAAAACTCATTTCCATACTAGCTTAAGCTGTGCAGTCAAATGTCCTTCGACCAATGTTCGAAGACTTGATCTAGTTGACTTAGACACAGCCAGGTAACTCAGCCTCGGCAGGGTGCTGAGGCAAGTTTGGTGCATAAACTCGGGTTTAGAAATATGATATATTTTTCTTTATAGTGTTTTTCACTGTATTAATATGTTCCCATACAATTTTCATGTGTTTTATGATGATTTGTGAATTTTTTTATCATACACTACTTTTCTATTTTCTATTTGTCTTCTGTTTTTTTGGATTACTCTAAATTGTTTCAATTTTCAAGCTATAAATCCATTTTTTCCGTATTCCATAAATCCATTTTTCCATATTCCATCTTCTATGTACTTTTTTTCTTCTTTTATAGACTTTTAATGCATTTTATAACTTATCTTGCGTTAGACTGTTTTTTATTTTTAGCCAATTTTTATATATGTTTTTGGGATTTTTGGCCCTCTCTGGGCTTGTGCAGGATGGGGCAAGTCCACTTGGATTCGCCCGAGTTAGTTGACTTAGGCAGGGGCAGAATCCCAGGCCCGAGCAAAGCTTTTCTCACTGCCTAAACAGCTCCTGCTAACTCCAGCAAATACTTTGGAAACAACTGGAAGGAAAAGATTCTGGATGTCATACCTGTGGAATTAAGCTCTTCACGTGCACTTCCCAAATTTCATCTCCTTGAGCAGTCCATGCCGCAACATTTCCATGGGTATCTGCCGTTACTAGTTCAATTTTACCATCATCATTAATATCAGCTGCCACAACTGGGCCCTGAATCTCAGCCATTTCCAGAGGAAATTTCTCTCTTACATTGCCTGGATTCATTGACATTTTCATCAGAAAATACATAATCATCCAGAAAAGAAATTGGATAGAAGTTTCCAAGAGAACAAGCCAATATTATTGTACAAGATCCTCCAGATCCCATACATGGAATTGAACTTTGAAGTGATAATCACGTCTTTATGGTCCAATCATTTCATTGAGGGAAAAAAAAACTCGCGTTAAAAGCAAATCCAACTCAATATATATTGATTACATAATCCTCAAAGGAAAATTAGTTTCAAATTCATCCTATACACACACAACACAAAAGGTCTAAAAATGTCCAAAAAAGAAATTAAGGTTCTCCATCTGTACAAATACATAAAGTAGCCTTATTAGTATATATATGCAGAATTTGGGGCATTTTGGTCTTTTCTACTCTTTCAAGGGTATGTGGTCTTCTTTCTCAGGCAAATTAACACTGGAATGCTACAACATGATGCTATAACCGCCCAGGCACAGAATTGCACATTTGTTCATTTTGACCATGTGTTTGTGTGTAAGCGTGCATAATAGAAACAAGAACCCTTACAATGAGATCATGGTTTAACCATAGACCTAAATTTAATCTAACAAGTCATAATGCATCCAAGCAACAAAAATATTTTATACAGTCCCAATTCACCTCGAACAGAACATTCCAAATAAATAAGAAAAAAATCAAACAGGAAATTACGCTTGTATCCACATTTAAATTCTACAAAAATATTCCCTGTTATTACATTCATACCCATTTTGTTGATCATTTTTTTAAAATCACCAAACAGCCCATAATTCAGATATTCAAGATCCAAAATTGAGCATTCCAAAAATATTTTGACATCTTCAAGATCCAAAATTGAGCTCCTAGAAAAGTTTTGAAATTTCCAGGAGCATTTTCAGACTTTTAAACTCCAAAAATGAAATAAAAAGCAATTTGGATTTTGAACATCTGAAAATGCTCCTGGGAAACTTTTGCAATTTCCAGGAACATTATCGAATTTTTAACCTCTGACTAATAATATGGATTTTATACATCTGAAAATGCTCCTAGAAATCTGATTTCGAACATCGAAAAATGCTCCTCGAAAAGTTTAGAAATTTCCAGGAACATCTTTAGATTCACTCTGAAAGTGGAAGATGGGGATACATTGGATCAAGATGAATCTTCTAAACCCTCGAGTTGTTGGATCAAGATCAATCTTCAAAACCCTCGAGCTTGAGCGTGGGGCACAGAGAGAGGAGATGGGGATTCAGGGGAACTGGGGCATGGTCAGAGAGGAGATGGCATTTTCAGAATAGTGGAGAACGTAGAGTGAGAGAGAAGTTAGGTTTTGGGAAGCAAAGACCAAAGAGTGAGAGGAGATGGACTTTGGGGAAGCACAGGAGAGAAAGGAGATGGGGTAGAGAGTATTGAGACTGGGGAAGCACGGGGAAGAAAGAGAGTCCAGTGAGTTTGGGCAGGGGACAGAGCGAGCGCAATGAGTTTGGGGGGGGGGGGAGAGAGCACAGTGATATTGGGGTACCATGAGAGGGGGGAAGAGAGAGAGAGAGAGAGAGAGAGAGAGA